CTCTCAGCTGGTAGCTTCAGGCTCCCCGTCCCAGCTCCTCCAGTGGCTCGTTCAAACCTGCTTTACTCTCCACCCTGTTCTCTGGCGACCTACACCAAGCGTCCTGCTCTCAGTGTTATCTAGGACCCCGTCTGGAACCATTCCTGTCTATTCATCTCCACCTTCAGATCCCCTTCACCTCTTCCAGGCTGATTCATCCTCTTCGCAAGTAAGAATCCTACTTCAATCCTCCATTCAGAGTTTACTCTCATCATTCACCTTTTCTCTGTCTGTCTCCAGAGCTCCAGTCCATCTGGTGTTCTCCGTGATCTTGGACCACCCATACCACGTTTCTACAATATTACACAGAATTGAATTATTGTCAATAAACCTTTTTTAAATTTTTTCCTGGTTTCCTGTGAGTGGTTCTGCATGTGGGCCAAACAATTATCTAAAACCATGAAACAAAATAGTTTTCCTTTGTCATTATGAGTGTAGAAGTGTAAATTATTTAAAGGATTTACATGATTGTAGCAACAGACTGCAACATATCAAAGCTGCAAAAAGTGAAGAGGTTTGAACAGTTTCTGAAGCCACTGTGTTACAGTGTTGTGATACTGTATCTTTTTTTTTATTTTGGATCAATAAAATGTATGAAAACACTGCTGTTGTAATGTGTTTTCCCCCTTTCATTGGATTACAAGTCAATACAGCAAAAGTTTGGTCTTGAGTGCATAAACAAGTTGCAATGGTACAATTACAAACAAATGATTGTATGTGTAAGATTTTTAAGTTTAAAAATGGTGCAGACCATGTGGTTTTTACATTTAAATTCTATGAAGGTCTCTTTAACAGCTCAGTGTGTTGGTGTGAAACTTGATGACGTTATAAAACAAAGTATTGGGATGCACTAAGTTGAAAACAAAACATATGGTTAGATTTTGGATTGGGATCATTCTACAGTTCTACGGGACATCTTTGGACTCAAGAACATGAATCTTGAGTCAAATGTACAGTTTTAGAGTCCAAACATTCACTGGAGTTTTAAATGAAAGTACAAAAAATCAGCAATCATAAAACTATAAAAGCAAAAGCGAGATTTTACAGTGAGTTTGCATTGATTTGTTGAATTCCTCTCAGCTTATCCAAATCAGTTGTTTTTTTTCCACTCAAATTGTTCAGCTTTGACAGTGCACATTGAATCAATTTCTGCTTAATTAAAATTTATATAATGTCATTTTTGAAACAACGGTGTGTTTTGTCCCCATGTGTCAAAGTTTGGTTGTTGAATTGCAGGTGATTGTTTTGCCACACCTCCTTGTAGCTGATTGGCTGTAATTATTTCATAATGAAGTCTCACTGACAGGAATGATCAAAGAACTACGACTGAATATTTCTGAAACTGAAGTTTTTGTCAGTTTATAACATTATTTTTCAATGTTTGCAAACCTACATTCTGAACTTGAATGTTTGTTTTTCTAATGCGAGTTCACGTTTAATTAAAATTAAGCAAATAAAATAAAATGTATCTTGAAAAGACTCCGCTTTAGCATTTTTATATGTAAAATATTGATCAAAATACCATTCCTTGAAAGAAGGCACATTGCTCATTGCGTTCTATGCCAAATTTTTAAAGGAAGATTTCGTTCAAACTATTTGTGTGCAGAATATGACCCATCATATTAATCTGAGGATTATGTCACATGTAGTCAAAATGAAATAAGCCCATGTATTTGATACATATGCTTCGATTTGTCAACCTAATCAGGATCATTTATTAATATTTGGTCTGAATCGTATCTATAGGTTTTTCTAATGAGGAATTGTTCATGTTATTTTAAAGAGATAACCTAAAACAATATTTAAATATTAAAATTTACCAACTGGAAAGTAAAAGAAAGCTGTGCTAGCTCGCAGAGAAAGTGAAAGAAATTAGAACTCAAAATTACATTTTTTGTAGCTACTGATCAGTGCTTCAAAATTTTGTTAAGATTATGTTTCAGATAGTTCATTTAAATGACATATAGACAAGGTATTTATTCATTATATGTTGATAAAATTCAATTGCTGCAAAGGTTTTAATCAATGCACAAGCTGTCTGTTTCTCCACATACCACCTTGTGGCTTAACCATCAGTTCAATGTAATGAATCACGTGTGTTGAGGATTACTCTCAGCTACTACCGTGCCAAAATATTTTCAACATCTGTAAAATTTAGTGGGTCTTAGCTGAATAACTGTAGTGGCTGTCTTAAATCTGATTGTCTCCTAAAGTTAATAAGTTGTAATTGTCCTTCCGCTGATTACTTCCTGAGAGTTTTATTATAATCTGTCTGGTGGTTTATGTGATTTTTTTAAACAAATGCTTATATATA